TTTGCTGTTGTGCTCTTACGACCTGATAAAATCGCAAACTGAAACACCAACTTGTTGACCGGATCAATGATACTATAACAAGTTTGAGCAGCGTAATGTCAGCTTCGAGTTCTTATTGGTCGTCTACGCTAGTATCTTATCGTCATTTGAGTCCAGAACCCCGATATCAGCCTCTGCTATATGAATCACGTATCCCAGACATACGCAGCTTATATGCAGGCAAATCAGACCTCACCGTACCATAAAATAGAAAATAACAATTATACAAGGTCAAACCCGCAGTGGCTGTAATTTAGGAATAAGTAACGTAACCCATTATGGATGACGCACTTATTCAGTCATGAAATGCAAAGACATAAGTGTTTTCAGGTATATAGAACAATACTAGCTACTTTCAATACACTGACGACACTTTAAGTTATTTTACGGTGTCGTTGATTAATATGTTTGATTCCCCGTTTTGGTATTTCGTGAGACTATTATCATTACTTTTGTTTCTGTTCCTAATATTTGTTTCGTTTTTTAACGGTCGTGTAGATTCCCACTGATTCAGGTTTATTCCACTCCGTCACAGGACTGATAAGACTGCCTTTGATCTTAGATTTTTTTTAAAAATCGACTGTAACAAGGGGAATGAAATTCCTTTTTCTGTTTATCGGGAACGTGTGTTTTTACAGAAAGCAAGGGTTACCCATCGCCTATGAGAACTGAATCGATGTGCTTACTGTGGGCGTTCCTTGACTAGCAGGCCCACTGTTTGTCACCCGCCACATTTATTCACAAAAATCTCTGTTATACAAACCTTTTCATCACACAGAATGGCGATGTTATTTGTCAAGGTATTTTGTGTGGTTTATGCTTATAAGCGTAACCGTTAGGAACTTACCAAACCGAACTATTTAGTTGTGAAGTTATCTGATGGAAAAGAAAAGTGCATTAACTTCCTCCGGATGAGATAAGGAATCATTTCAGACATTACACCCAACGTGCATTATATGTAACGACTTCTATAGATAAAGTCATTGTGCAATACAGTTCAACCTTCAAGATAAGTTTATAAGAGTGAAGAAACTTACGATTATATAATTTGATTATTAGGTTACTCCTTACCTAATGCCTATAGATAGCGTGTATGGACCAGTAATTTTAGACGCCAACGCGCTTTTCTTTCTTAGATGAATTTATTTCTATCTGATTACTATAAGTGTTGGGTTAACAATCCCTGTACTTTTGCGTTCTCACTACGATAAGGGATTGGTTCATTGCTTTAGCAGTTGTGTTAGTTTTTCATTACCAATTATTACATCACTGCGTTGTCTAACATTTCGTATACTAAACGTTGATACTTCTAGTTGGAATGTTTTTTTCTTACAATTTCCCGTTTTCTAGCTTTGTCTTTGAGCTCGCCTTAATTTTCCAAGCCGGTAGGTACTCGATGTTTTATCTATAGAAGAGGCCAGACCTGTGGCCGAACAATTCTTCTTTCAGATTCTGTAGCATAACATTTGACGCTTTGGGTTATCTATTCAGGCACACTACGTTTTCAACGTTCAATATTTATAGAAAAAATAATGCTTACACAAAATAAGGAAGTGAATAAATACTAGAGGCGTGTTTTGACACTACTCAGTTGTTTTCGGCCAACTTAGCCAAGCAGCCTGGGTTGTTGCAAGCTCTTGAGAACTATTCAAGTTGCGAGCATACCCAGTAAAATTACTATCTCACCATTCGGTTCCTTTTGGGTAAGCCTAAGCCACCGTTTTTCTAAGTTGTTAGTCTCGAAATATCAGGTTACTACCCAGACTGATGTTAGATTGTACCTTGGCAGCCGGGTTTAGCAAGCCAGTAAATCAACATGATTCATTAATAGAACTTGATCATTTTAATCCTTATGCACAGCCTTCCCTATTTAGCGACTACCAAAATATTACTGCAAGGCAGTGATGTGAAGTTTTGAGGGGAATTACATATTTAGAGTCCCTGTATATGAATCCTATTAGATCGCATGATGTTTGCTATCGAAATACACATGCCACTAATCCGTCCAGCTAACAAGGCTCGGACGCATCCGAATAGTCTAGCTTGTCCCGTCATTGTGTCGCTGATCCCTTTTTCCGTCCATCGATTTTACATGAACTCATAATCTCTTTAAACATGAGAGACCGTCTGTCTCGATCAACGACTGTACAATGGTACGTGTACAAAATCCATTCTCGTAGTTGACTCATTTAATTCTGTCACTCACCAATGCGATTTAACTATATACGAGGATTAGTAGCATGTGTATTTTTATAGCAAACATCATGCGATCTATTTGGAGTCAAATGCAGGATCACTAAATCAGTTTCAGTTCAGTTTCAGTTTGGGAAGGACAGGAGGCTTGATGGCCTATGTTAGTCCTGGCAATGGTGGTCTCTCAGTTGATCCAACTTTCCTTTGAAAGATTTGAAGAATGGAGCCTCAACCACGTGCTGAGGTAGTGAATTCAACTCGTTGATGATACGATGGGAAAGTCGATAGTCAGCTGACAAGTAATTTGTTCTCGGCTTATGAACTTTTTTGGAGTGTCCTCGTAAATTCTCTGATTTGGAAGACAAGGAAAATGAGAGCATATTAGGTGCAAATTTATCATTAAGCAATTTGCAAACTGTAATCAAGTCGCCTCTAGTTCTGCGATATGACAACGGGAAAAGGTTCAGCTTGGCCAATCGAGATTCATACGGAAGCTTCGCTATTCCGGGAATCAGCTTAGTCGCCGTTCTCTGAACCTTTTCCAGAATCTCACTGTCTTTTTTTAAGCAGGGGCTAGCTGCTTGTATGCAGTACTCAAATTTAAGACGAACGAACACTGTATACAAAGTCAAAAACGTTTTGGCATCGACATGACCAAAGGCTCTACGTATTGACCATAAGGTTCTAAAACCTTTGGCGGCTATTGCACGGCAGTGTGCAGTAGTCTTTAAGTCTTGACTAACGATAACTCCCAAGTCATTATATGTCTGGACGACAGGTAGCTCAGTGTTATTCATCGTGTATGTATCTGTGCCTTGATGACCGATATGCATCACAACACAATTGGAGGTAGTTATCGGCAACTGCCATATTTGAGACCATTCAGATAACTTCTTCAGGTCATTTTGAAATTCTAAGCTATCACTCTTACATCGTATCGTTCTTCATATCTTGACATCGTCAGCATATAGCAAGACTGATGATGATAGGAGATAAGGAAGGTCATTCTATTCCCTTATTTTCTCCATATCCTTCTTTAAACTCAATTCAATATTCTTCTCAATTACAAAGACCCGATTTATTATTATTATTAATATTCTACTATTATTATTCTAATTTTTTTAAAATATGGCAAGTATAATGCTAACATTATTGAAAATTGTGTATTATTGCATTTTCTAAAGAAACCCGAAATGGTTTCTTCACAACACTTATGTACCCATAAGTCTTACAACCCGAAAATTTACAATATTCAGGTCCTTTTCGCCAGCGTCTAACCTAAGTTGTAGTTCTTTCTCGGCTTCCCGTCTTTTAACACGGTCTGCCAACGGTAGGTCCTTTCGGATAAAGGCTCCTGAACCCTTTAGTTTGTGTCCATTCTGTAAAATTAGGTCACGTTCGTTCGAAGAGCTGAATACTACTTTAAGCAGTCTGGAATGATTTGGTTTCGAGTCCGCTAGACTCCCTAGTTCGTACACCTTTAGCAAGGTGACCCCGGTCATATTTTGAGGCATGAGTTGATTAAACAGCTACCTAATCAGTACAATGTCATACGCAAAACGAGCTTTAGGTTCAGAGCTCTCGCTCTGCTTGATTCTATGAAAAATAGCTGATCTGTCGCTATGATCAGCTTTGGATTTTTCAGCTACTTTTACGGGGGCAGGGTTCCCTTTTATATGCCTACTTTCCTTCCTCACAACCTGTACCCATTCGTCAACGGTGCTGGTAGAAGCAATAACAGTTGCGTCAAACAGAGTGTTGGATTTTGGAGGGTTGTCGACGACCTGAGAGGTCGTGTTATGTTTACCGCTTGAAACCGATCGAGCCTTGCGATTGCGGCTCATAGGTGTTTCCTGTTGGATCCCATCTGGGAGACGGGGAACAGAAGACACTACTTTTCTTGAGCTTTTGTATAAGGCAGGCCCCTTTGGAGACTGCTTTTCCTTCTTTGACGGGCGCGAGTCATCTATCATCGAACTCACCTTAGTTTCCTTCACGTTGATTTGCGTGTCGACAGATCGAGTGCTGCTTGATGCGTTCCGACTATGTTTGTTACAACACTTCTTTGCATCATCAACCAATGAGTTGACCTCGGTTCACAAGCTGTTTGCATCCGAGCAGCACTGTTGACAAAGTAATATACAACCCTTCTTACCGAACCCTTTTGAAAGCAGCAGGCGTTAAGTTCGTGCAAACTTCATGGTACCAGCCTTTTCACTCGTCGCACTGCATGTCGCTTTCAACAGGATAACGACAACCGGACGTTGGCAACTGCTTTTTTTTACACTGTCCGGTCATTTAGGAGGGGTTCTTTTTCAAGATGCGATGATACTCAGAAACAAAAAAATAATCAATGACCAAAAATGTGAAGAGCTGTAGATTGCTAGGACCAAAAGTACTAACAGATACAGTTGAAAAAGAGGTACTCATGAGTACCAACGACAAAACTAATCGGGAGAACAGTAAAAACAATGCTCTAGTCGAATGCTTAAACTGAAATAAATTTAATTAAGGTGAAAACAGTAGTCTTGATACGTATTAAACGATCAAAACAAAGAAATTTACTCAGCGAGGAAAAATACCACTGTCCTTTTTAAATAGCGCGCGTCAGGCGAACCCGTCGAGAACACGATTTATGGACTGAAAACGATCCGTTTATTGATTTGTATAAAGTTATTTTCATCTGAAAGGGAGTTAAACAATTTTACGAGTTGCCTTTTCTGTCTAACTCTATGAGAAGGATATGCTCAACGAGAGGGTTTGACACTAAGGCGGCAGAAACAAGAAATTACGCACCAGGCGGTATAGTAGCGTGAAGTACTTCTACAGACATTCTTTACGATGAAGCTAAGAAGTAAAGTATCCGAAGGAACCACACTACACTGATATCACTATTAGCCAAGGAAAATACTACCATTTCAGTATTTCTCGACAGATGTCTCCCCACTCTGTCCCTTCGTACCATATTCTCAATGTTCATTCTTACGTATTATCATTGGTACCGCAGTATTTCACGTTCTCTCGGTATTATTTCCGTCATGCTAATGTGGCATTGTGACTTGTGCTGACTCACGTTCGACAGGTTTCTCGTTGATAATGACACTGAATGCTAGTATTACGAGAGACATGTGTCAGTAAGTTTAGAACGAAGATTCGCGACATGGTTTGGTGCATTTATTTCTAGAAGTACAATTCCCTAGTGTGACCTATTTGAATTGAGACTGATCGAGTCTAGTGGTAAATGTAGTCTTAAACACTCGGAGAGTCTACACAATTCATTGAAATTCCATAGTAAAGACACCGGTTGTTAACTGAATACTTCGGTTACAGCCGCCTATTTAAGCTAGTTTAGGATGGATTTCACGAACAGCAAGTGTGCATTAATATGGTCCGGTTAGATATTCATTTATTTCACAAGGTTCGCTTCAATGGATTCGTATGTGTTATCTCACATAAACGTAATTGGTTACTCAAGGTACCCATTTACTCGAATGCACTGGTCATAAGCAGCCTGTATCATAAGTCTTGCTAATGCTTTCGACAACGATATTCGTGCTTTCCTAAGACATGTGTATTTTGTGTAATCTAATTGAAGTAGTTAATTAACATGATATAGCACGACTATTATGTGAGAATACCGATAAGGTTTTGTTCGTCTCGTTAACATTTAGGTGTGGAGTCAGATTTATGTAAACACAACGACGTATTTTTACTAGGGTTCTTTTTGAGTACCGTTTCTATAATGGTCAGGAAATTCGTTACTGTGCACTGAATCGATTGATTTGTTTGTGATAGGAGTTCCGGCTTTTATATTGGTTCTACCACCGTTTGCTGTTATTCATTGTTTAAGTGCAATTTAATAACGTCACCTGCATTCACTCATTCAAGTACAGAATAAGCCCATTAATCAGATTATCTGCCACAATTATTAACTTACGTAAAATTCCACTTTCGTTTTTCTTAACTGAAAGTCAGGTGTTTGAACCACTTATGCACTGTTACTTCTTAAAATATATTTCTACATCATGCAGCCTTTCCTTGAATCAAGACGCAAGTCCAGAGAAATTCACAAATATATTGATTTTGTGTACCCTTACCAATTCAGGTTGCAAAATAAAAAGTTTTCTGTTGTTAGACCAAGTAAAAAGTTCTGTCATATGTAATATATCTAAGAACGATATACTTTAGTCATATCGTATCGGACTAAAGTGAGAGTATGATGTAAACTTGTACGTGTTTCCTTTGTGGTCGACTTATGATTCCTTGCGTAGAAAGCTAAGAGTGAAATCCCTGTAGTATGAAAACCAACATATGAAGGATTAAAAACACTGAGACAGTATAGAAAGGAAAACTCATTCAAAGAGGTTTTCGTTTATGCTTTTATGCTTTTTAAAACCCTACGTGGGAAGCGAAAAGAATCCGTTCCTAAAGAGAAAGATATGTGACACAAACCACGTATAGGCTCATGTACTAAGTTGCAATTCAAACTTGTAAGGACTGGTGGTTCTTACGGACTAAGCTTTCGTAATATTTATATTATCTTCGGTCACTGGATTGTGATGTATATCTTAGGAAATAGAGACACCAAATAAATTTCCAGCCCTTCTCATTTTTAACTAATTCCGTGTCGTTATAGTTGAATATTTGAAACTTGGTTGTCAACTAGCAGCAAAGACCTATAACTTGTTACATTTACTCTTGAATACTAGTTTTAGAACAAGTAATTGGTTGCTTAGTGGCGTTCTTTAGTTAGCTTCAGGTGATATTAGCAAAAATAAATAAACCAAACATTGTTAGCTTTTTCTAAATGTGTTCAAGTAACCAAATCTGGTTTTGAGAAGTAAAGTTGCTTGTGACTCACTATTATCTGTGACTATACACAGTCGAACCTTGAGATTGCGTACGATATTTTTGCCAAGTGCTTAATATATTTGAGTGATAAAATCTCAGACAAACGCATATAAGGATACTTAACTCTAAAACCTAATAGTAAAATAAGTATTTGGAAGAGGTTTCTGTGACTAATTTTACTTCTAACTTCTTTTTTTTAGCATGTTAGTAGACTTCCCACTCCTATCTACTCGTTTTGATTCTCATACATTAGTCCATTCACTTTTATTTCATGTTCATTCTTTTATTTTCTTTTGTTTTAGATTTTAATATCAACTGGATTTGACCTGTCCACAATTATACTCATTTGCTTACAGGAAATCTGAATATTCGTTGAATACGGAACGTTTTACTGCTTGACTATTTACATGTAGGCTTTTATATTCTAAACTATGAATATGCTCAAAATACCAAATACTGCACTGTTATTTTTCGACTATTTTTCAACCGGAACCTTTTTCATACTCTTGATTTACCTCTTTACCAGACTTTGTACACACTTGCTTCATTTTCCGTCACTAAATTGTCATTTAGATGTGATAATTTATCAAGGCCGTGCCGTTGTCATTTTTCTTGTAGTATTTGTATACTTCGTTGATGTTTTGACATGCAAAATAAACGATAAATTTTTGGTCTATACGATGCTGAGGAATAGAAGACGGTTAAATACTCTGTTATATACACTTGTCCTTTTCACTTTCGCCCTATGCTCATTGTGCTCAGTTATATTTGTACCGTACACCAGCTTTGCTATATTTCTACTCTCCACCTCGGTCTTCTTGTTATTTTCAGACTTGTCTATATTTTTGATTGTACTGGAGGTAAGCTGTTCATTTTTGACTTCAATCACTTTATTTGTAGTACTATTTATTGGAAACTGAATTGTTGAATTATCAACCTGCTAAACGCCATTGTTTACTCAGTCATTTATTTTCAAACCAATTATTTGTGGATCATATACTTGGTATGTTTCTAAAAACTTCTTTGTTCAGCATCAGTATCACATCGAAATATGCATACTTGGAAAGTATCTTTAAATCTACTTTGATCGAGCAAATTATATACATTGTGATCATATTTGTTTTCCTACCATCATTTATGAGGATTTTTGCGTCGTATGCGAAAAGAGTGTGCGGTAAACAGCAAAAGTACTTAGTGTCGAAGTCAGTGATTTTGGACTTTTTCTTTTAACTTTCCGTGTATTTTTTGGCTTTATTTTGCTTTGATATGTCTAAAAGTTGGTGGAGATCAAAGGATGCCAAACAATTGTTTCAACCTGTATTAGTATCTAGCCACTGTAATGATCCATAATAGTTACTCAGTGAACTAAAGCAGTTGGCTCAAATGACGTATCTAGTATTTACAACGCTAATTAAATTGCGATATCGTACAAAGTTAGCCGCTTCTGTGACTTAAGTTACTATCATTGAAGAACAGTTAATTATCAGAAGTTTTCAGGACCTCTTTAGTTCACTTACTGATTAATATCAAAGAATAAATTCAAGGTCTGATGTTTCTACAGCTTTCAGTAAAATAGAATGGAATATTCAAAATAACGTTTGTCTCAATTTGAACCAATAGTTGGACGTCTACATTAGGGAGTAGTATTGTATTTGTAAAATCTCAGCAACTGAGTTTTAAGTCAATCCAGTTTTTCGCTCGGTAATCTGGTCCAAGCCTTTACAAGGAAATATAATCAAACATCAAAATTGTCGAAGACAAATAAGTACATGGTTCTCCAGTTAACTGTATCATAAACAGGTCACCTAATCATGTTAACACTGTTGAAAGTAAGAATTTGCTGTAATGCGTAGAGAAAGGTGTGTTAAGATAACAGTTGTATTTGTAAGTGGATCTGAGGTAAAAGAAAAAATTTCGCTGAGTACATATCACTTCTTATCGATGAATTTTCTGATGAAAACAGGAAATTTCTGTCGCTGATACGAGTCAAACACGTTACAGCATGCATCAAAAGAAGCTAAATAAGAATAAGAAACGTTTCTGTTATTGTTTCGCCTCTGTTTGAGAAGTTTGAAGTATGGTTGTTACTGATGTAATATACGGTCCAGTTGTCTGACTCGTTTTTAGTAGTTGGTCGTTATAGTTTGTATTCAGCCATCTTAGTCGAATTCTATTTTATGTTACTCTCACGACAGTAAAATGAATATGTTTTCATTTGTTTATCGTGAAGTATTTTAGTGGATTCTTTCGATAACGTAATTTTTGACGTACATAGAAATATTGAGACCAAAGTTTAGGTCAATAAGTAAATGCCCATACAATAATTATCACATTTTTCAAAGATCGTTCGTATTGTCCAAAGATTATACAGTTGGCAGGTGGGAGTTATGCTAGTCGTTACTGTCTCAATTTTATTGATTAGCTTTTTATTTTATTGTTGTTCATTAAATTTCATTTACCACAAGTTTAATTTAATTTTCGGGAATATCAAATTTTTATTTCTCTAAAGCTTCATTTTCCTTACGAAAACAACCATATGGATATGTATACATTTACGTTTCCAATTTATTGTGTATCTATCCGTAGATATACTGTATACATGACGTTTCAGAATCCGAACATTCATGAGTATCGATGATTGACTTCATGTTGACTTCATCCAACGTTCTCTACTATAACTACCTAAAAATCCTTGTTTCATCATATATAATGCATTGATGCACCTTATTATCAACTTGATAATAGCGAACCAAAGTCCATTGCTTCGAGAAAATTATTTACTATTTTTTTAAATAAATTGGAAATTTGTTGGAAACTTGCTTTTAATTCTCTGCGAATTGAGCTTAGGTCACAGTAACCGATACATCTTTGTACAATATTCTGTGTTGTATTCGTCTTAAGGTCATTCAATCAGTCAAATTGCATATAAGAATATAATACAGGAAGAAAGAAAGATATGAAGCGATTTTAATCTCTTAGTTTCAGGGAAGACAGAGAGTTTGTACACCTACGCCATTGTGATCGATTCTGAGGCATTTCACCAAGAGTCTCCAACCATTGGTTACGATAGTCACGCGGACCCCAACCAAGTAGTTTGCATCTACCAACATGACTCAGAATAGAAGTTAGTGACTTCAAGCACTGATGTCACGTTTTGGTTTGGCCGCCCCTAAGTTTCTATCTATCTCCAACACCAGTCAGCATTGCGTTCCGTGGTAATCGGTGTTCAGGCATGCTTAACACGTGGCCCAACCATCTCATTCGATAAAGATTCACCTCATCAACTGATTTACCATCATTCCCTAATACCCTGAGTCTAACCTCACTATTACTTACCCGGTGATCCCAGCAGATACGAGCAATATTTCTAAAACATCTGTGGTCAAATACTAGTAACTTACGAGTGTCTTCTATCCTCAATGGCCATGTTTCGCTACCGTAAAGTAAAACAGAATGGACTGCCGCACAGTATACTCGTCCTTTTATTGATAGACGGATATCTCGCCTTCTCCATAGGTGACGTAAGTTGGCAAAAGCCAAACAAGCTTTCTGAATCCGTGCTGAGATTTCGTCAGACACCAACCTATTAGGGCTGATCAGACTTCCAAGATAACTGAAGTTGTCGGCTCGTAGTCTACTCCCTATCCTCAGTTCAGGTGTTGACGCAGGCCAACCCTGGAGCAACAGTTTGCATTTAGAGGGGGAGAAACCCATACCAAACATCCTGACATTGTTGCTAAGTGCTACCAAAAAATGCTCTCACGCGTTTTTTATTTCTCACATAATGTGCTTAATATTCTTTTTATCTTCATTTTAGTAAGTGGGTATCCAGCTCAACACGAAAGCGTAGACATTCATACTCATCTGGCCACTCTTGTGTGGAGTATCGACGTATGAGTATCCACAATCTTTCTGGTTATGATGTCAACCCGAATCGTTCTGATAAGTATTGGTCTACCACTTTTATGATATTTGTCAGCTTGATAATACTTCATTTAAATAATCGGTATTCTGAGCGAATTAGTTCTTTCAAGCACAATTCAAGTGAGAATGAAGTTCTTCCTATCTTATATAATGTTACTGCTTATGAAGTTACTAGTATCTTCCGTTTCATTTACAATATATTGCACGTTATCAATGTCAATATGGTGGTTTACTTGTTTCTCGGATTGCTATTATTTAAGCGTATCAGAGTGAATAAACATACTAACTCACAATTACGTAACTTGAATATCCCTAAAATAAAAGAGACCTTGCTTAGTGACCAAGTAAAGCAGTCTCCAATATTACCAGAATTTTCGAAAAAATTAAATGATGTTCCTCTTCAGTCAAGAAGACGAATATACTGTTTACGTAAAGTAAGTGTTATAGTTTTCACGTTTAATGTACTTGAAGAACAAATGATTTTTTTGCAAGTTATTTACATAGAACTAATGCTTATTACAACATTTAATAGGTTTCAGTGATATGCGTAAATATGTCAACTAAAATTAAGTAAACATCGGATGAGCTTGATAATGCCACTAATCTTCATATTGTAAAAATTTCAAATTACCTGCATTCGTTTTCCGGTATGTTTTGGATTTACAGTGACTTCATAGGATATTCTTGATAATAAACTTTTGATAGCGAAATCTTTAATTCAAAGTAGGTTATTAAAGGATATCAAATGGATAACCCATTCTTCTTTGTCCTTTACAGTCTGTTTAGTTCTCGAATTTGAAACTCCTAACTGTCTTTACCGGGGTCTTTTGGTATGGGGTTTGTGAAGACATGATTGAAATTTGATAGTTTGATTCTTAGTATTATGACTAACATTGTCACTACCACTCATTTTCATACACATAGTTCTTTTTATCATTTTGAAAAGAGCAAGAACAAAGATTCTAGCAGAATAGCATGAATTCATTTTATTTCGTAGGTTCTTGTCAGCTGCTTACAACCTGTGATATTTAAAAATCATAATTACATAATGGGTTTAAATTGCCTACTGAATATTGTAAATATATACCTAATGTGAAAGAATATTCTACAAGATTAATTGTGACAACAGTTTAAAAGTGGGTTAGAAACAATTGATTACATAATGAATAAACATTGATAGGAATATAGTGAGTAGAGTTCAGTTGGAAGATTATTAATTTGAAAGGTAGTTAAAAAAATGAAATAAAATCAATGATGTAATAAATGCAAAAGGAAGAAGAATTTTAAGGTGCAGTGAAGGAATATTTGTCACCAGGGCAAGGAAAGTTAACCACCGTCTCCTTTTGAATACATAGGTCAGGTTTTTGACGCCTGATGGCAATGGTTTCAGCAAACTTCAGAAGACTGGAGTTTGGCTGCTTACTAATCACCCTAAAGGATTGTAAGGCATCTACCTGATGTCCTGTATCAAGGAGATGTTTGGTGATTGCGCTGTTCAGAGTCTTTCTTTCCCTTGTTCTAAGACTTTTTGGAACATGTCCAAAAAATCTAAGATATGCTCTCCTTTCAGTTCGGCCGATGTAGCTGCTTTGGCAGGTACACGTAAATTTATAAATACAGTTGGTGGTAACTTGAAAGGGTTGCTTGTCGATCTTTGATTGGTTTATTGAGCATGTTGTTTTATAGAAAGTTAAAAGTTTATCAGCCGGTTAAGTTCTGGATAGAGCAGTGTTCAGTCTCCTGTTGATTATTTGTGCGATGTTATCACCTTTAAAGTTATGATTTATATATACTGGTTTTTTATTGACCGTAGTTATTTCTGTCTTGTTTTCCAGGGCTTTTTATATTTGTTAATAAACTTTTGTGGATAAAAGTTGTCTTTTAGACATTTTTCTACGTTCATTAATTCTTCTTCCAGTTTGTCGGTGGTACATATATTTTCTACCCTGTAATATAGTGTTTTAACCAATGCCTTCTTGTAACTAATTGGACAAAAACTATTGAAATTCAGGTAGAGGCCATTCCAATTACTTTTTCTATAAACTGAACGTTGGACTGTCTCATCTCCTCTGGGTTTTATGGCAACATCAAGAAAGTGTAACATGTCGTTCTGTTCGTGCTCCATAGTGAAATGTATGTTAGTGTGAGCGCTACTGAAAAGTTTTAGCAGGCGGATTGATGTTGATGAGACGGGTGATTAGTAAGCAGCCAAACTCCAGTCTTCTGAAGTTTGCTGAAACCATTGCCATCAGGCGTCAAAAACCTGACCTATGTATTCAAAAGGAGACGGTGGTTAACTTTCCTTGCCCTGGTGACAAATATTCCTTCACTGCACCTTAAAATTCTTCTTCCTTTTGCATTTATTACATCATTGATTTTATTTCATTTTTTTAACTACCTTTCAAATTAATAATCTTCCAACTGAACTCTACTCACTATATTCCTATCAATGTTTATTCATTATGTAATCAATTGTTTCTAACCCACTTTTAAACTGTTGTCACAATTAATCTTGTAGAATATTCTTTCACATTAGGTATATATTTACAATATTCAGTAGGCAATTTAAACCCATTATGTAATTATGATTTTTAAATATCACAGGTTGTAAGCAGCTGACAAGAACCTACGAAATAAAATGAATTCATGCTATTCTGCTAGAATCTTTTTTCTTCCACTTCCACTCATGTTAGATATATGACATTACGTATAGGTAGTAATTATCCTATTCAGTTTGTACCGTCAGTTTCCCGTTTAATTAACTGAACTGTTGGTCGGTTCTATGATTATTTATTATCAGATCCATCAGTTGATATTTAACTCATCTTCACTCTTATGAGTTCCTTATTATGACAGCTTTTACAACAAACGACTTATTGTTAGGTAATACCGTAGTAATTGTTGGTGTGGTGTGTGCCACTGATGTCGACAGATATAAGTAGTATGTACCATCAGTCGAAAGTGAGATACCTGGCGGCAGAAGGTTAAGATCTAAGAAAAGAGAACGAGAACAGAATGATTGGTGTGGAAACAAAGGAACAATGAAATCTGAGACATTTGACTGATATTTTGCAAATGAAGTATTTACTGTATGGTTCTCGGATTTAACTAAGGTATTATGTAATTTTGTGTTCAAATACATTCAATTGTCCCCACTTGTGTTCCCGTTCACTATAGTAAGTACTTTTCATTATTTAATGTTGAACTTATCTTTTTACAAATAATTTTCTGTTTATTCTATCAAGCAGGGTTTACAGATTTTCTGATAACCATCGTCTTATTACACTGTCGAGATTTTCTATAGTCTGCTATGCCGATAGTACCGGCTTACTACTTTCTAAGCTCCTGTTTCATAATCGACCATATAACAGATCCATTATGATATTCTACCATAATAATATGACTTGTGATATCCTAGATATATAAGAATCAGATATTAATTGCTTCGAAATTTGACAAAAGACGATCAATACTCAGCTTTTGAGTTTTTTATTCATCGGATTCTACTGATATATCGCTTTAGCTAATTTCACTCATTCTGATAATTTTATTTGCAACAATCGATCCACATATTTTATGACCTTATTACTGAGAAAGGACAAAATGATTTGCATCATACGATACAAGTGAAATAGTGTATTTGTAATGAACGAAAACATAGGTGGGGACGACCGATTTGTTTTAATACAAAATTACAAAGTATCTGGGTAAAATATAAGAGCCATACAATGAATACTTCATTTGCAAGTTTCCATCATTTGTCCTTCACATTCTGTACGATTCTTCAAGTTTACCATTCCTTTTTATTTCCTCTTCTATTCTCAACTTAATCTTATCATTCTGATGCCAGGTTTTCCACTTCCTATTGGTGTTACATACTAATTCTGTCGACAGACATATGTAACATATACCACATATTGACCATTTGAATTATTATTGGTATTATCATTATTATTATAAACTTCTTCACCAGGTACTTGGGTACAAGCTAATGCTACTTCCCGGTTGTGGGGTGGAGTTCGAACCTGGGACTCGGTGAATGGAGGTTGAGCACCTTATTCACTAAGTTACTTTGCAGTGATGTAAAAAAATAAAAATTTAATAATAATTTTTATGCGAAAATTTTTGTTTATCCGCGAAAATTAGTACATATCACATACCACATATGCACTTTACGAAACTGAAACGATGATTTTGTCAGAGTTTTCACTAAAACACTTTTATTTTTCCTTGGTAAATTTGGATGATACCGCTTTTTGTATTAAGCAAAGTGTAGGATTTCTCATATTCAATAAAAGAGGGAATAGTAAAATTAGGAGTTTGTTTAGAATTTGTAAAGTGGTTTAAACTTATTGAAAAAATGATCGGAAGAGCAGAAACTATTAATAAAAAGTAGTCAGTAGTATCACTCATAATCCTATTCATTCTCATCTAATTTTGACTATTTTATGAATTGTAGTAGTATAAATTACTCTATACTCATTTTAAGTCGTGAACAAGTGAATGAAAGCCATTATCATAATTCGTAGTATATTTTACAGTGTTATATAAACAATACATTGGTTATAGTTGGAAAACTGATTATTCGACATATAAAGGAAGTAACATTCACTTATTAACTCTACTTCCCAGTTCACGCTTTATTCCATCAACTGAATTCAGCTTTCGAGAACCAATTTATAGCAATCTGCCTATCATAACAATATATACAGTAGGCTTTAATTGAGATTCAGTTTAGTGAATCGAAGCTTCATATATAGTATGGTTTTAAAATATTAACTAATTTCTGGCTACTTGGGGAAGTAGTCGGTAAGCAATAATTACACAGGTTCTTTCATTTTATTCAGGATACTCGAAATTCGCGATGATGGCGTCTATTAATTAAGTAGCAAAAAGTGGTTTCGTCAATAATAAATCTTTCATCAACTACTGGCTACTTTGTGAACAATACCATACTCACTGAAGTTTGTAAATCATAAACTTATCTAGACACTCGGCCATATGACATTATTATATGTTATTGTTGTCTTTAAACGACATGAGACTATGGTCAGGTAACCCATTGTTTATAGATCTCTGAGTTCGTAAATAACAAATGAGAACGAAGTAGTACATCATGGTAAAACTTCTTAATTACATTTCAGGACGACGACTATAGCGATAAAAACGATTCCTCGTCTGTTTCTACATTTCCTAATACGTGTAAGAATGTCAATGAACGCCCATCCAATGTATTGGACTTGGATATGTTGACTGAAAAGATTAAGCAGGTAAACACGTCTACTCATGTATTTTAACACTAATTATATATATATATATATATATATATATATATATATATATATATATATATATATATATATATATATATAGGATTTGCTTTCTTATTTGTCCTTTAAATTCATGGAATATTAACTTCTATTAAATTATAGTTGTGGTAATAACTTCCGAACTCCACTATAAATCTTGAAGTTTTGTCCATATTCTTCATCTTCGTTATTTCCCACTACAAAACCAACGAAAGATCCTCTCAGATTTTGTTGTGAATTCAAAACTAATTTTCCTCTTATATTATTGGATCCCGTATGGCCTGGTTGTTTAGCAATAGAAGCAGATACTTGTCAGATCCGGAATTGTGTAACTTTGTTCAGTTCAAACCAGTAGTCTTTGCTCCACGACACTGAGTAACGACCGAAATATCTTGATTATTGGTCTATGAGCTCTTTTCAACCTCGATGTTTAATTACAGATAAAAAACACCAAGTTTCTATGATTCTCTATTATCTACTGTTGATTATGTGTCAATTCATACGACGATATACAACACCTGACTGTACACCAACACAAATAAGGTAAAACGTATCTATTAACAGTTTGTGCGTCAAACGAAAGCATACAATTAAAGGAACATAAGACGAGGCACCACTGCAAGCATTTAATAGTCATACAATAATAATATGTTTAACAGTTCATGTTGGCGGGATATAGATTAGATTAAAGCACTTTCGTGCGGGATTATGTCGGGGCACGCTGATTGGTTATTTCTCAACCAATCAGCGCTAGTGGAGACTTGGAGAAGACTAGAATATTCTTAGATGAAAATTATAAATACAATAACGTTCTTCTTATTGTGATTCCTCCATCGATTCAACGTTTTTATTAGGAATATAATTACGTTCCTGTTCAACCGTGTTCTGATTTGGGGACTTGTCGAGTGAAGTATTGTTCAAGAATACTAAGCAATAAGAATAGCTGGGTCGAAATGAGAGAAATTATAACAGTGGAGACGAGGAAAAAAGAAAATACATTTAAGATGCGCAACATGGTGCACGAATGCGGATGTTGGAAACTTTGACGCAATAGCTTAGCACTCAATGCTCGAGTTCACACTCTGTTTCAAGTACTTATTGTGATGCAGTTGCCAGCAGCATCCCAGAATTCATCTGTGACCACGAAAGAGAAAATACTTTCCTCACTTGGTTCAAGCGTTGGGAAGATAGATTTAGAATAGAGTTTTGTAAGCAATATGACGCGTGGAAGACTCGATTGTTGATTAGTAATTTAGGAAGTAATGAATATGTACGCTACGCAGACCATATATTGCCAAAGTTACCTCTAGAGCTCAGTTACGAGGAGACGGTAACTAAATTGTAAGAGATATTCGGCGAATCATCTTCTTTGTTTAGTATTCGATATCAGTGTTTAAATTTGGTGAAACGCGAACGCGATGAATATAGTGCTCTAGCAGATGTCGTAAACGTTCAAGTTACGCTCATTGATGGAAGATCAATTTAAATGCCTAGTATTTATCAAAGCTCCTCAGTCACCACAAGGTGCTGAGATTAGGACTAGACTTTTAACTCGAGTGGATCAAGATAATGGTGGAACATGTTTCGTGAAAATAGACTTCTCCGATGCCTATCTGCGAGTGGAAGTAGATGATGATTGTAGAGAACTTCTGACTATCAACACTCATCAAAGGTAAAAAGTAACATCCACACCAAGGTCTGAAATCAGTCTGGTTTTCTCAGGTTTGCATTTCTAGAGCTCTAGTTAGACGTCGATGTTATTGAAGTTAATAATCCTGACACTATGTATTTCGCCTATCTCCTGGATTGACAGTGAATAATAGTCACGTCTTTTACCGAGACAGTTCCACTAGAAGCAGGATTTTTAACATCCGCCTCCTTGATAACTTTCAACAATTGTTTACTGCTTATTATGGTTTTTGCTCTATCCATCTCTTTTGCTTTCTCTATTCATTACTGCTCACGATCATTGCATAGGCTTTTTATGAGCTCGCGTTTAAGCTGCTACCGCACCTCATCATGTTTGAAGCCAGACGGGATGAGTTTCCAAGCATCTGTCAATTCGGTAGCCGCCGCTGATTTCCACTTTTTTCTTGACTTTTTCGTCTAAGTTACTAGTAGACATCTCTGCTGTTTCCGAAGATTTTTAGATATCGTGCTTAGGTATCTTGGTATGTATGTCACTTTGATGGTTGATCGACTCCTCTAGTTGTTCCAGAAATATATTATTAACTTTTCAATCAACCCCATTAGGTTTTGTTGTCGTGGTTTTTCTGGGCCCAATAAGATGCAGATAAATACGTGCTTGAACTAGAGCATAATCTGAGTCTAAACATGTGCTCCAAAATGATCGACAGTCTACTATCGAACCTCCTCAACGATGTTTAATGGCAATGTTGTCTATTTGAGACCATCGTTGAATGGATTGTTTGGGTTGCCACGTCAAACGTTGTTTTTCCTTATGCTTAAAATTGGCGCTTGCTAAAACTAGTCGGTTATCCGGGCATATTACGTCAGATGGTCTTCATTTTCTGTTTACTGAGTCCCAACACCGTTAAACTCACCTAAGTGCCTTATTGATTGGTTTATTCTATCTACTTGAGCATTCAAATTACTCACATCAGAGTGTTTAGTGTTTTGAATGTTGGATGGCTTCCCATAAAATTCATTTTTAATTTCATCCAAGCTGCAATCAGTGGGAACGTGGATATCGAAGAGGCAACGGAATGTGTCTGTCTCTTCGAAATTTTACTGTCCCGTATAGTTGAACGGCACACAAGCGATTGTCTATTAGAATCCGGTCTAGGAGCACTTGTTCTTTAGGACTTAATTCTATTCTTACAACTGGAAATACCAGTGGGGTCTCCAGATACTCGAGGAGTAAACCGTGCCGGTTCTTTATATTGCTAAGGTGATGTCAAATGAATAACCGTTCCTGTACCTTGTATGCGCGTTTCTGAGACACAGCGTACATCGATGGCTCGTAATTCTGGAGTCCTAGCTAAGTTAACCTTTTTTTCTGAACGTTAAGATTCCGACATGTAGTTTAGAGCGTGGTTTTAAGAGACCAGCAATAACATTTAATGGACTCAAGTCATTAGCATCGGTGGCGCGTGGTGATAAAGAATACAGTTATTACCTTGGACCCAGCTGGATGACTTGGATTTCATAGATGACCTTGCCTTTCTATCCTTTACACAGAAACAAGTGCAGAAGAAAACAGTCAGTATGTCACCAACTTTTAAAGCAGTATCCCTCAAAAAGCAAGATTCTAAAATACAGCACAGTGAGGACCAAATAAATCGAATTCGATTAATAAACTTTGTAACTGATAGTTTTTACTTTCATGACCAAGATTGCCGATGAGTTAGGAGGATCTGATACAGATATGAAGGGAAGGATTGGAAAAGTAAGTGGAAAATTCATGCGATCAAAGGATATATGTAACTCAAAATAACTGTCAGCCAATACCGGAGTCAGAAATTTTAATATACGTTAATACAGTGCAATTTTACGGAGCAGAAACTTGTAGAGATGCTAAAACTATTATCAAAAAGGTACAGGTATTTATAAACAATTGTCTACACAAGATAACCCAGATCCATTAATCAGACACTATCAACAATAACCTACTGTGGAAGAGAACAAATCAGCTTCCAACTGAAGAAGAAATTAGGAAAAGACGATGGAGGTGAGTGGGACACATTGTGGAGATCATCAAAATGCATCACGAAGCAAACCCTAACTTGTAATCCTGGATGCGAGCTTTAGAGACGCCGCATTCATCGATGGTGCGAGATTCTAGAGTCCTAGCTAAACAAACTTGTCCTGTCTGATAAGTTTTCACGTTTTTATCATATCTCGTCGTTAATTTGTTATGCCTGGTCGTCGCTGATTATTATGGTTTTCTCTCTTCCGAAATTCCCGTCGCCAGTTTGTTATGTCGTAATCGATTATCACTTATACTTATAAAACGAGAAACCACTGCGATTGCCACGACGCGAAAGTAAGAACACCCAGATCGATACAAGTAAAGATTTATTAACCCCAAAACACGACGACGACCCTAGTCGAAAATACACTCATTTTGATAAAATCACATATGAAAAATACTTAGTTTTAACAAATCATATTCTACATGACATGCGTACCATAGTTCATGTTAATTTAATACAAGAATATTGTATGTTATACAGAATAAAATATCACACGGGAAAACAGAAACAATACTGCAGATTGAATTAAAATGGAAGTAATGTTGAACAAAGATCATGATGAGTAAATCAATCTAATTTTGATTTTCATCCCGTCATATCAGTTTTCTTCTTAATTCTTGTTACTATTGTTTGATCAATCATTTGCATCATACATATTTCGCTAATTTTATTGTCTCTCACCATTCTTTCGTTTTTACTGCTCATAAAAGTATCTCAAAAAGTTCTTTAATATATGGTGAGCACATTTCTAATTGACATAATGATAACCTACTTGACCATCTTACTGTTTACTTGGAGTCATTAATTACGCTTCCTACGTGCGAGGTCGCGGGTATGCACTGCTGAAGAATCCCATGCATGGGTGAAACTGCCGTCCATAGCTTCCAGGTCTATCTTAGACCATTTCATGATCTCACTTGTGAAAATACTACAACCTTCACAAATACCTTGTACTTATATACTAGTCTGGTCGTATATGGAGTCACTGGTAACCTAAAGGACTTGGTAATCACTTCTATGACCTCGGAACTGAATAATCTTGATCCATCAGTTATGGGGATACAATTGTAGTGATAAGTTTCATTTTTCGATATCTTCGATTTTCCCACTTCTACTTCCCGTAGTTTTATTGTTCTTCGTCAATAAATTCTTTATTATATATTACTGTATTTAGGGCTTGGGACATGAACTATCAGATACAGAGATTTTACAACTGATATCACATGGAAGGCTTAAAACTCGTGAATTAGAATCAGTCGTTCGCAATCCATTTCGGGCTGTTGAACTCCGTCGTTTAGATTTGTCAACATTTCTTAATAACCCACATATTATTGAGCGCATTCCATACAAAGACTATGATTATCGTCTTGTATATGGTCAATGTTGTGAGGAGGTAAGGAAAATCATTTTTATTAGTATACTTCTGTGAGTTAAAAGATTCCTTAATACGGTGGCTTAGTGGTTATAATCGCTTAAATTGTAATCACTGAGTTTCAGATCCAATCTATTTTTGACCTACTTACGTCTAGGCAATTGAGTATTCTGATGTATGAAGAGTGTGGTTCGAAGATTTAGTGCATGAACCTGTACTTGATTACTTAGCTAAACTTCATATTTTAAAATAAGTACACCTGATATTTTAATCATGTACGTGCAATTGAACAATAAGTTAACCATAAAGTCAGTTCTTGTAAAAGTTTTTCAGCTTATGTATCCGCTCAAATAAAACTCTGAATAACGTCGGCAGTTTATGTAACCCCTTGATTTCTTTTACTCAGGAACATCCGAATCATGTATAATGAAGAAGACAAATCCAAACTCAAGTTTCACTTAAAACTATAACTGTGTCCACAAATCAATGTTCAGTCTTATGATCATGTATGACCTCAAGTTTTTGGGATGATCTTGTAAGTTTTTGTGATCAGTAGTAATTGACCCAATGAACAAAAGAATTAGATAAAGAATGTAGAATAACTTGTAGGAAAGTTCCTAATTCGTTGATAAGTGATAATTGATTGGTTTTCGTTTTAATTTTATTTTGAAAATTTGTTAACATTTAGCATCCTGGAAAAATTATTCATATTTCATCTGAGTGTCTTACAGATGAAGAATTGTTTAATAATTCTGAAATTGGCTGCAAAATGTATATATTTGACTTATATTTGATGTGTGGAATAAATAATAATGTTGTATTATCTATCTACTTTCAATAAACTGATCTTTTTAATTAAAAATTCAAGGAATGGGACCTATCGCATTCAAATATCATTTATAAACTTTGATGTAAAACAGTGGCTATTTAATTCCAAAATTCTTGTTAGTATTCTAAAATTTAAAAAAATACATGAATATTTTTGAATCATCTATAAAGAATGGGGATAAACAGGAAAAGTGTGGATTTACCTCACAGTTAATATTACTAGGTTACCTTTAATGTGAAATTAGTTAGTTTCCAATAAACAACAAAGTTTTGGCCTTTTCATGCGATTGAGGTCTCAACAAATGCTATTACTCACTTTTGGTTACTTCTATACACTATTCATAGTAATCTGTTAACAAGTTGGTGAGTTTCCAAAATTTTTCAAATATATTGTTGCACAAATTGTTTTCACAAAATTCTGGTAAATTTTGTCTTCTAAAGTTATCCAAAGGGATGAACTGTTCAATCACGAATGCATTTATGGAATACGGTGGTTCATTTATTTTACATACATTTCATGCAAAATATTTTAGGCAGATTGAAACATACTTTAAACAGATCATTATTTAAATAGTGTACAACAGAATGCAAGAAAAAACCAGTCAAGATTTTAGTATTTAGCTTGCGATTCGCTTGTGAAGTTTAATCAATCAAGTCCGTGTTGAGAAAACCAACAGTATGTATATAATAACGGTGAAAGAAACAAATACTGGTTGCTGTTTACGGGGGAAAAGATAGAACAAATAATCTATCAAATATCTTCACTACTACAATAGGCTCACAACATACCGTTCAGTGATTTAGAAGTATTTGTCATACTCATACGTGTGTTTTACAACCAATGCATTGGTTTAGTTTGATCATGTGTGATCATATGTCAACTGTTAATCCTTAAAATAAAATAATACTTTTCAAGTTATTTATGTCGCTTCACATTTTAATATGGCAGATTTTTTATCGTTTCAGTTTTCTAACTCCTAAATCTAAAAATTCCTCAGGATCATTTATTTTTCTTTAAAAGTAGCTTTCTCAAGAATATCGTAATTATGTATCAACTTTGATGTATGCAACACCATTGTACACTACATATGTATATATGAAGGAAATCACGAGGTATAAAACTCACTAACGATTTCGAGTGTAATCAGTGTGTTGTCACATTCTCCACATTGATTAGTCGTTCATGTTTAAAAGTATGACTAAAGTTGATGAGTTGTAAAACGTTTACATAAACTTGCTCTTTGCAATCATATTTTCATCGTAAGAGATCCACACTCTTTTCTTTGTAATTGCAAACGCCCTAACAAATTATGATGTATTTTTCGGAAACGAGAATAAGCACTAATATTGGGTTTAACATTTTTTATTTTATTTTTACACTTAAAAGTATGTTATGATAGAGTAGATACTCACCTTTCAAACTACGGGTTATCAGTCCTGTCGACTATGTTCATTGTGATATCGACAACTTATTTTTATCTCCACCAATATAAGTGGTTTTCTACCTAATTCAAAGATCTTAAATTTATATATTTTGGTCTGTTAAAATCCAGGTTATCGGGTACATGCCTATACCAGTTGGAAAAATTGGACCTCTTCTATTGGATGGTCGTTCTCATTACATTCCTTTGGCTACTACTGAAGGATGCTTGGTTGCCAGCACAAATCGGGGATGTCGTGCCATTTTTTTGGCTGGTGGTATCAAAAGTGTTGTCTATAGGTAAACCTGAAATTGTTCACTTTTGATCTACGTTTGGGTATTCAGTTCATAATATGTAAACCTTGTTTGTTGTTAGCTATTTGAATACTTTCATCGGGATCCCTCCCACCTTAGCGTTATACTTGGGATTACTCGTGATGAAGGAGGTTTGATTCACAACTTAAGAGAAATTCTTCCAATCCCTGAGACTGGAACCTGTGCCTTTTATCAATGAAAGATTTTACTTCGGCTACTAATTTACTCTCTAAAGTGATATGTACTCTTGTATACGACCACTCATTTCCAATTAGTTTGAATCGTATTTAATTGAGGGAATTATCTGAAGCGTATCAATAGGTAGTACATTTAACCTTAAATTTAACCAGTTTATTGAATCGGTCGTCAGTAAAATTTAGGATGCACGTTCTTTTCTGTTTAAAACTCATGAACTGGATGAACCTGCATCCCAGTGTTGGTGTTCATAATAGGACTCGGACCCCAACGTTACTGAGTCAAAATAATTACTAACTTTTTCAACATGTGTATTATGTTTACATTATTATCAAAAATTTCTAACAAAATGATTGTATTAAAGCAATTCGCACAAGATACACATACGATCCACCAAATACTAATCAAAACAATGTCCTCAATACCAACAAAGGGATAATTTAAACCCTGATTCATAGCGATAATAACCTATTTAGTTATACCTCTGCGTGACTTCTCATATTGGATCTCTTTTATATAAACCAAACACATCATATATTATATTCATATTATTTTAGATTCCATTTAATACCATATTTTAGCAATGATGAATTCAGCAAAATTTAATTTAATTTGCGTTTCATGTTTAGGAAGGCAAGTGTTAGTCAGGATCATCGCAAATTCTCGTTAATTACCATCTGCTGTTAGTCATCAACACCCAGTTACTCTTACCACAATTATGTATCCTCATATGATGGTAGTCAGCAGTGAAAATTATTTTTGAATTTCATCCATTTGACTTCAAACATTTTACAAACAATGTAGTATTATCGTCATTTACATATATCTATTCAGTGTAAATTATTTTTAAAGAGCTTTTAGATGGTAACTTTAAAATGAAAAACTGGATAACTCTACTAATGAAGCGTAATGTGGAAATCTCAACTCAGATGTGTAAAATTAACCTTAATCATTTCGAAATACTACAGCGAGACTATTTTGATACTTGATAATTCTATGTCAACAGACATAAGTAGCATACATCACCATTCAGAAGTGAAATGCCTGACAGCAGAAGGTTGAGAAAATCGAGTTGAAGAGAACTGGAATGTAAACAGAGAGTAATTGTAATAAAAACCGGGATGGGGGAATGACGAAGTTTGTAAGAGACAATTTATGGAAGATGTGCAAATGAAGTAATTGATGTATGGTTTTCGTACTTTATGAAGACATGTGGGGTTATATATTTATGCACGTATCACATCTATCAAATATAAATAGATGTTTCAGTAATTGTCCGTTTTTATATGTAGTATGACGACAAATATGAAGTAGTTGAAGGGTTTAATCGATTTGCTTACCAAATAAGATAATCACTTAGGGAATTTTAGTGTACAGACAGGCGATTTGAATTCTGAATTGCACGTCAAATGTGTGTGCAACACGATTAAACGCCTACTGTTTTTTTTGGAAATCCTATACATTTACTTGTTATATTGACTTAGAGGGGAGCTAAATGCAAATAACCATTGAGTTCTAAACACTATACTGATTTATACAACTCTGTTTACTATTTATTATTTGAACACATAAATATTGGTACAAAGAGACACCGAATACATATGTGCCACACAAGTCACTTGATTTGTGTGTGGGCTGTGGTACTGCCCAGGTGCCCAGACCGAACCAGGGAGTTTTCTTACGGGGCCACGCTCGAAGCCTTCGACTTAATCCACAAGGCAGTGGAGATGCAGTCCCATGGTAACCGGTGACCAACAATAGGTTCATACGCCATTTGTTCCCTGGAGCCCATGTGCGCTATTGTTTTGGAATCAGGGTTTTCCAACACCCTTAGGTGGAACCTCCGTGCTCATCAACCCGGTTAACGTGCCAGACAATCGCTTTTCTTTCTCAATTTCGTAAACGACAACCCCGTCACGAGAAGGCAGTGAGTAGGACTTCCCAATCAGTGGCTGTATACGCATAGTCATATGAGAGCGTTTGGAGAGGGAAAGCTAACTCTCCCCAACCTTGGTCGTATCAGGGCATTTGGGGGCTTTAGGCTATCCATGTATACTACAGGTTGATAAGTGTCTGTCGTTTGACAGAAACAAATGCAGTGATTTTGAATATATAACCGAAGAGTCGATAATGAAGTTATCAAACAACTAAGCCATTACCTCACACCTACTTTTTACAGTCTTTGAATATTAGTACGAACGGCTTAATTATTATCTAAATTTCTGTGATCTATGGGGTAAACTTTTTCGAAGTAATTCTACTTATTTTCTTTCCTACTCTATGTGACAAACTGGTTTCTTCATTTTAATCATATGTGACTCAGTTAGTCTCATCTACACAAATGAAAAGTTTGATACCATAAGTCGAGAATGACAAACGTAAATTAGTTGAAAGTGTCTTTACAATTTGGTTGGGTCTAGAATGAGAATAGATGGACAATGCTCCTAATACTACGATACTAGTTCTAAATTGAATAGATAGACTGACGACCTATACATAACAAAATATCAGCAAGCATAACTACACTCAAATAAGAGAAAAGGGTAAAGTTGCAAAAGAGCTTTTACGCTTCTAGAAAAGATAGTGAAGTCAGCAAACATTACAGTGTATTCAATAATTCATAACACAAAATAACCAATAGAAATAGGCGTGAATCACGCGACGTTACCACATTACACATTGTGAGCAACTCCAAGAGAGATTAAGATTGCCCTGATTCGGGTCAACTCCAGCAAAAACGGATTTAATAAAGTTTATAGAAAGCTAACAGTTTGGTGCATCTCGATTCTAACTATAGTATCGAATCGTCAATTTCATTTGTCTCGCAAACGCTAACCGTAAAATCTGTGTTACGTCTCAAATCAACAGCTTGTTGTACTGAGCATATAGTATTGAACAAAGCCATAAATAATAATAACAATGATCTACCTACCCTTAACTATTTTTCAAACTATTTCTAACCTAACCAACATCAAACTTTGTGTTAGACGGTATGGTATGCGCTTCTAACACGGACAGTATAAGTAGTGTGTAGTAGGAATAGAAAGTAGAATGTTTACTAGCAAAAGATTGAAATGATGAGAACAGAAAGAAAAATGAACAGTAACAATACAATTAGAACAATGATGGATTATGTGAAAGACGACTGAAGGAATATGTGCAAATGATCTCTTCAATATATGATTTTCATATTTTACGAAGGCACTTTGTAATTTTGCATATGACAATAAACTGGTCTACCGTACCCGAGTCTCTGTTCACTATAATAGCAGTTAGATATGCGTATTGGCTGTTTTAACTACCCAGTAAATGGATATTCATGATACTTGGTACTTGTTATCTCTACTACTTCATATTCATTTTTTCTGCCTCCTTTTGTTTCTTGTTGTAATAGTTTTAATTAGCGTAGCAACCTATGCCAAAATTTCAGTCCAATATCCGGTATTCTTTTTTCTGATTGAATATTGTTGAAAAGAATTCATTAAATATGTTTTGAATACATTTAACAAGCTATTCTAGAGTGAATACTCGATAAACCAAGTGCTAATCAGATCATTTGTAACTGTTCTATTTTCAAAGTACTAATGAGATACAAGGACATTTTTTGAAATAATTATTTATAAATTGATGGGCGCATCTTACTTGTGCCATAATGGGACGAGTACTGAAAAGGTTGAAACTTCTGGTACTAGTTTACAGATTATTATTTATGCTTTAACTGTATGATTAGTAAATAACCGCATCGTTGCATTTCAATATTTCCGTCATTAAAAACTTCCAATCGACCTGTCTCTATATGTTTTACTGTTCCTTAATTATTGCCAAATAATTATGTACTATTCGATTCATTCTCTTCCACTTGTGGCATGACTATTTTATGATTTCTTTTTTTGGCTATCCTGGTTGGTTGGACCAGGCGATTAAAGTATACATATAGTAGTAGCTGACGGCTGAATTCGGACAGGAAATTGAGGAGAATTTACGGATAGCGGACCGACAGGGGTGTAGCTTAAACTGCATCAGGATTAACTGTGTACGTCAGAGCGTATAATCGATCAAGTCTATGGCGCTATTCCATAGGCAGAGTAATAGATGTGAGATGAAAAATTTATGATTGGAATTCTGATAGGTGAGTCTAGGATGTGATATCGATTCACATCTTAAGTCATAAAAATTTCGTTGTAATTAAGTACTACGATGTTGTTATTGTTGATACTCGTAGTAGATTAAGTTTCCTGTCTTGTTTTTCAAAATCTACAGATGATTCGCACATATATAATATGTATTTTCTGCAGAATGATTCTATACTCTATTTAATTACTACTTTTTTGTTTATATATTCAGAGATCAAATGACAAGAGCACCTGTTGTTTGGTTCCCATCAATTATTGATTCAGTGAAATGTATTGCATGGATTGATTCAGATGAAGGATTCCGAATTTTAAAATCAGCTTTCGATAAAACTAGCGCACATGTAAACTTATTATCAGTTTTTGCTTGTCCGGTAAGTAGCTTACTATTAAATTCTAATTGTATTTTACAACTAATTCAGGATTTAGATAATTAAGTAAATTTTGTTGTTTTATAATTGTTCGGAACACTCCATACGATTTAGACAGTATATAAAAAATACTGACATTAGTTGATTTGTTGAATTACCACTGTTCAACACATCGTCTATTCATTAATCTCCTTAAATATGGTTTACATTTGTCATTTCAGCTATTAGTTGGACTTTGTCATAAGTGTTGCTTTTAATATTAATGCACTTCAGTTAGATCTAATATTTAAAACAGTTACTCCCTTTGATAAATTTGGATAACGTGATGAGAAGTCAAAGGTTGTCAGAATTATATGATATATTTGCGTAATATATTTCAAACAATCTAATCACACATATACTTGTTAAAACATTATACATGGAAAATTAAAGGTCAACTTGACAAGTTAAAAGATAAGAGGAAAAAAGATAATAAAGTACGGAATGTGAAAACCACTCTGGATTGTAAATCAGTATTATCAGGGTAGGTTATGGGTTTGAAAATTTTTTTGAATACATAAAGGGGGGATTCAATAAGCCTTAGTCCACGCTATTGAACACTTTTGCATAAATCTACAAAGGCTGACTTGATGTCAATCCTATGACCGGTATCAACCAAATGTCCCTCAGTGAAGGATTATTTATTTATTTGAACACATAAATATTGGTACAAGAGAGCGCCAATATATATGCGCCACACAAAACAATGAAAATTCGAAGAGAGATAGAAAAAAAACTAAGGAGCACAAAAGAAAAAGACAACGATAACGAAGAGATTGGTGTAAGGTAGTGTGGTCATAACGATGGAACGGAAAGGTACAGTCAGAAGAAATCTTTCAAGTAAGGGAGACACAACCACTTTTTATAAAGAAAGTAAAAGAAGGTTACAGCAGGATCGCCACTGGCTTCTATTCTGAGCCATATCTGATAACGTCTCTAGCCACTGTGTAGCACCATCTCTCAGACCCCAACCAGGGAGTCGTAAAGGACCGACAGAAGCCAGTCCTTTGCAGCTTTCTTTCATACCACGACACCATGTCATGCACTGACCACCTCTCCGCTTTTTCCAACCAGTCCCAGAGTCGGCAAATAATGCATGACGTGGAATTCTCTGGGACGACATTCGTAGAACATGTCCAAGCCACCGAAGTCGGTGTTTCAAAATGGTGACACCAATTGAATTATCATCTCTGTGCCCCAACACACGATGCCGAACCTCTGCATTACTGACATGGTGTTGCCACTGAATGTCAGCAATCCTTCGGAGACAGCGATGATCGAACACAGAGAGTCGTCTAACGTCCTCAACTCGGAGAGGCCAGGTTTCACAAGCATAGAGCAAAACTGCTCTCACCGACGCGTTGTAGATCCGACCTTTTACAGCCAGATTACATCACGAAGGCGCCAAAGGTGGCCCAGATTGGCATAAGCCACTCTGGCTTTCACTATACGTGCATTGATTTCATCATTCACACCCCCACCAGCACTTATGCAGCTACACAGATAGACGAACTTCTCGACTACGTCTATCTGCTCACCATCCAGGGTGAGTGCAGGATTGGAATCCTGCTAGTCTTGTAGAAGTACTTTGCACTTCGAAGGTGCAAAGCACATACCATACCTACGGACACTGATTGCCAACTGATTAAGTGCGGATTGCATGCCTTGGGCATTATCGCACAGTAAGACAATATCGTCCGCATACTCAAGGTCGAGAAGTCTTTCTCCAGGCAACAGATCCACACCACCATTACTTACATTCATCAGAGCTGTTTCCAGAATGTCATCGATGGCAAAGTTGAAGAGGAATGGTGAGATTGGGCAACCCTGTCTAACCCCACTACTCGAATGGAACAATGGAGAGAGGTGGTTGTATGCCCTCACTCTGCCTGAGGTGTTTTTATATAGGGCTTTCAGGATGTTAATAAACTTCTCAGGCACACCCTTCTTCAATAGACAATCCCAGAGAACAGTCCTGTCCAACGAATCGAAGGCAGCCCTAATGTCAAGAAACACTACGATTGTTGGCCTTTGATATGTATGGCGATGTTCTAACATTTGGCGGACGGTGAAGATATGATCAATACATCCTCGACCAGAACGAAACCCAGCCTGCTCCTCGCGAGTCAATTTTTCTCGGGTTTTGAACAACCTACGAAGTATGACGGAAGCCAATAGCTTGGACGCAATCGGAAGTAGACTTATCCCCCGAAGGAAGATATTTGTAAACCTGGAAGCGCTGAACGGCCGTTTCGTCCTAGTACGGGACTCCTCAGCAGTGCGTATCCACGATCCCGCACCACGCGGGGCTCGAACCCAGGACCTACTGGCTTCGCGCACGAGCACTTAACCATTAGACCACTGAGCCGGCATCCTCATGATTTAAATCTGTGAAAATTTCTAAAATCTCCACAAACCCCTTCTGAAGATATTTGTGTATTCTGTTATCTCATTTGTCTATTAAAATTAATTTGTTTTTTTTCAAACGTTTAGGTACATGTTCAGTCACCCTTACTTTCAGACCACGATTTCTCCTCCGTATGTATGCTTTTTCACGCATGCACTTAAACTGATGGATTCATTAGGATGGAACACAATCCCTTAAATGCTATTTGAGTTTTTGGTGAAGCATAGACCTTGATTCTTCGATAGTCATGAACTAGGCTGCGTAAAATTTCTTACTGATAGCTAATTTAGTTATTAGTTTCATTGTAAAACTATTTAAGTCACCTTTGAATGGTAGGGTGGTATAGACTTTTTTGGTGCCGAAAATGTCGGGTGTCTCATCATATTGTTACCTTTTTAACGCTTCGTTAACTTTAATGAATAACCTTTACTCGTCAATGTTTCAGTTAAGAGCTTTACTTCTCCCTCAACAGTATCGCTAGTACGAATACGCCTGATCCTATTGAATAAGTCCTTTATTAATCCACATTTGTACCGGATTAGACAGTGACTGTGAAAGCTAAAATATCTTCATGTTCATTTTGGCTCTGTATATACAAAACATTTGATAGAACCATCGTCTCTTCTACTGACTATTACGTCTTCTCATCACATTATTTAAATTTCTTGATATACTAAATAATCCCCTGTATGACATTGTGGTTGCAATTTTTGAAGGGCTCCAAAAGTCGAACAAACTCTTCATTCGTCCTGAGGTTTTAGCTGTCGTTCAGTTGATGTCAATCCATGATGGAAACTCTCTAAATCTATGCATTTTACTCATGTATTAGCGCTTACATTTTTGTATGTCTCATTTGTGTTGCTATATGTTTAAACATAAGTTGATCGGTTCCACACTAATTATATAGTGTTTGTGCGACCGATGAGACTAAATTATTACTTATCGATAGTGAGAAATAATGACCTCCTAATGATAGTTCAGACAACATACCAGGCACAACTATTTAGTGTCTCATCTGATGGAAGCTAGATTTTAGTTTACTAAACATTTCTGGTTCATAAGCTTAAAAATAAACCAACCATCTGTTACAACTATGACCTACCAGTTTAAACTAATCCTTATTTTTTTTATTTGAAGAAAGTACAACACTTAACTTTGGTTTGTATTCATTTTCATATTCTGTCCACTCGCCATGTGATTTCAACAGACATTCTAAAATATCCAAGGAGCTCAAATTTCAACATCATTACACAGAAAAATTTAGTTAAGTGTGAAACTTCATTGTGGTACCGGAGTTTAAGATTATTGTTGCAAACAACTAAGTTTCTTTAGCAAAACAGATACCTATCTATAGAACCGTATTTACATATTTGGGCCTTATCCAATTACTATCGTGTATTGAATAAAAGTCTCCATGTCAGTATTTATAGTTCTTTCCCTTTTGTACAGGCTGGTCGATATATTCACATTCGATTTGCTGCACGTACAGGTGATGCTATGGGTATGAATATGGTTAGCAAAGCCACTGACAGTGCTTTGCATTGTCTACAAAAATATTTCAGTAATATGCAAGTAAGTGGGTTTATTATTTTGGTGTTCTATGTCATATACGTACCGACGTTTGATTCTATTATATCACGGCACAAAATTCTATAATTTACTTCCCCAGCGATAGTTTTATTTTCTCTAGATCTTAATCTCATATTTATGTTAGAATATAGTATATATGTATTAAAAGGCAGTTAACACAGCAACTAAAAAAAATAAAATATTGCATATCTTTGTGATGAATACTTTCTATTACCAGTTATGGATCTGCAAACTAGTTCTCTGTCATCTTTTCTAAAACTTGCATAATAGCTTACGTGGTCACAGTGCAACTTCTAAGTGTAAGGAATTGTAATTGATGAATAAGGAATTTACCTATTCATGATTACTTTTGTTTCTGGTTTAATAACTTCTATATGTATAGAATGAAACCTTGATACACTGATACAATCTCGTAAACCTGTATATCATTTGATGGGATTACTAGATTTTCAAATAAGTACGATAATGAGTCAACCATCGTTTTTTTCGCGAGATTATCTCTATAATTTGATAGTACAGTTTGTGTCATAATGGTTTCGAGTATGATATCTTAAATTATTAATTGTTCTGTGACTACTTTGTACGCTATTTAATTCATCCATGTTGTTCTTTAACTGATGTGTGAATCAATGTAGGTTATCTCTTTAAGTGGAAATATGTGTACAGATAAAAAGCCAGCTACCATAAATACAATTCTTGGTCGTGGTAAATCTGTTATTGCTGAAGCTCATCTATCAGCTGATGTACTGGCTCAAGTGTTACATACCAATGCACAGCGATTAGCTCGGTTAACTCATTCCAAAAATTGGATTGGATCTGCAATGGCCGGTTGTCCTGGTATGATGGGATGTAATGCACATGCAGCAAATATTATTGCTGGAATGTTTGCAGCTACGGGACAAGATTTAGCTCAAGTATGTTCAGTGTAATTGATTATTATCTATCTATTCACATATATACAATATATCCACTTTTTGGGAAATACGAAGAATGTTTAAAGTCAAACATTCACTGAGTATCTTAAGAAGTAATCTAAATATTATAACACACAGACATTGATTATTCCCTTTAGGATATCAAATAAATAGTACGAAATCTTATACAGCATACCCATTTAGATTTATCTTGTGAAATTCAGTGCAAAAATGCAACGATTCATAACCTCTTGGTCTAATCACTCAGATCAAAAGTGATTAATGATCCTGTCTTTTATCTAAGACAGTTTCCTTAACAGCTGCCATTTTAATAGCTATTTCCTTGAGATGTCAGAATAGTTGTTTACTGTTACATATCGCTACTATCTTTGCTATCTGTTTAGCTCTCGTAGCTCGCCATTGTTCAGGATGATTGGATAAACGTTTCGTTAGTCTAAGTTTTAGTTGTCATCTCTCTTCATTGCTTTTCAAGTTTGTGGGGTTTGAGGGTCTATTAATGCAGTAGATGCCACTAGAGTTCACTAGTCTTTCTTAACCTTTTGATTTAGGTTGTTGGTGGATGTTACTACTGTATTTGTAGCCGTTTAAATAGTAGTAGGTAGTAACGGTACCAATGGTAATAGAAGAGATTAGGCATCGAAGATGCAATCCGAGAAGAAAATATAAATTAGTGAATTAAAAAGTGAAAAATTGTTGCGTGGAATCCAGAAGTTCAGGATTTGTGGGAAGAATAAGATTGGATACAGCTACACCATTGCGAACGATTTTGAGCCATATCATTCAATTCTCTTACCACTGTCTAGGATAATCACGTGGACCCTAAACAGGCAGTCTACACCAGTTAACGTAGCTCAGCCCAGTTGTCAATGACTTCATAGACTGATGCCATGTTTTTGTTCGGCCGCCCCTGAGTTTGTTTTAACTAACTACTACACCACACAACATCGCTTGTCAGGGTAGGCAGTGATTGAGTACACGTGACACTTGACTTAGCCTACCAGTTTAGGCGTTGAAACCAACTACAGCATCTGAGCGTCTTGGCTTTTGATGGAGGTCATAAATTTTTCTGCAAAGCTCATCTTTTACTCCATACGGGCTGAAACAGCAAAGAAGGAACAGTTTGTCCCTTTTTGGTGGAGTTTTGTTCTCTGAGCTGGATGGTTTGGTTGTGGAGCTCAGAGAACAAAACTCCACCAAAATCATCCACCTGAGCTACAAATTTTCTCCACCATCTCACAGTTTGTCCCTATTTTCCAGATTCTTTGCTTTACCTTTTTAGACAGACAGCATACAATCGACTACTGACAAATGTCTAGTCAGAAATTGCCTGTTTTTCTTTCAGACTTAGTACATATCTATACCGGCAAGACCACAATAAGTTGGTGTCACTGCTGCAAATATGCGATAGCTATTTTGTGTCGACTCGACATAATGGCTAGGTGAGGTCAAGTGAATGAAGATGTCAACACCCTGTATACTTACTTCGGCGACACTGTATACACTGATGACATGAGACAGTATAATACATCGGATTTTCAGCGTACGTCAAGTTTCTAGTTGGGATTTCAGGAGTCAAAACGTTGTTAGGCTAATCTGTGTGTCTAAGTCTACTTGAAAAGTTTTTGAGATATAGGTTGTATCGTGTTCTTTAGACGGGCTTATCATCTGTAGTAACATATCTGACTCTTGTTTTAATGTATTCCTGGATAATCACATATGTTATTTTCGGACTAGACCCGGTTAAATAGTGAACTCAAAAAACGGGATGTAAGAAACTTGATACGAAATATGTTGGGGACGTTATGTGTCACCAATAGAGTTTCATGAGATCCAATCATGAGGGTGTATTTAGAACAAGAGTAATCGAGTATTCGAAGGATAACTGCATTAATAAATGATGCTCATAATCATACTGGAACTAGCGTCAAATAGGTAGTAAGTGTATGTTGTAGTAAACATTCTATACATAAGTGTTTTAAGGTTATATGTGTATTAGTTAACACATAAACAATTAAAAGGCATTTATGGAAGAATGCTGGGATTTGAGATCTAAGAGAAGATAAATCGTGAATTCATATGAGATATTGTAATCGATTCTGAGCTGTCACTCATTCTCCAATCACTGGTCTCTGTTATTGAATAGACACGCAACCAGGCAATCTGAATCAACTAGTGTTTCAGACGCTCAGCCAATGATTTCGTTACACACCAACCCAACAGAGCTGGTGCGACTTCCGCGATAAGTAAAGTGGTCGACGCGTTCAACTACTTGACTCTATACTATTGGTTCACTTGTTGACACACACCAGCCCTGAAGTGAAATTCAGCATAGAATCAATTTGAAACTGATATTGTGTATACCACTCTTTATCTGATTTACTTACTTTCTGGTTCATATAATTTGATCTACTGAGAATTGAATATTAATGAATCAATATATTGCTATGTGGTCACATTTGTAGTACAATACTTATCGATTTCCGTACTGATTTAATTTTCCTTCATTAACCTCGTCACATCACTTTCAACTTCTGAATATACGTTCGACTTCTCGAATTCATGTATACGCATCACTACTAATAATACATATTATCAGCTTCTGATAAGCAAAGTTGGCTATATAACAATAACATCATTAGCGCGAATGAGAGGTGGATGAAACCTATTGTAACCAACTGACGATGGTTGTATCTTTTAGAAATGACCCATACAGTCATCGTTCTGAAATGTGTGGAAGTTGGAAAGTTAGTTGCAGCTATAGGTGTTTTGAATGCACACAGTTTGTGGCCTTTAATTTATTTTGATTTTTGGCCGGCTGCCAGTTCTTGCTCATCTGAAAAGTTCCATTGATATTCAAAAAAGATACGGTTGGATTATGAGGATCCACAGATGTGTTTGTCTTTATACAGTCGATGATTTTATATATATATATATATATATATATATATATATATATATATATATATATATATATATATATATATATATATATATATATATATATATATATATACCTTAGCAATGTATATAAAAATAGAATACAATGTGAAATTCACGAAAATATGTGAAACTCAATCCGGTAAGCCAGGCTTACGGTTTTATTGTTGTGCATTGAGAATAAATAAGGCCTAGTTATTCATTAATATCGTTACTAAATTTGATTATTCATTCAGTTATTATTTTCACTGCATGAAGTAGGAGAATTTTTGGTTGGTTCATAATTGAAATATCATACATTATGAACTCGCATTTGTAGGCCTCATCAAGTTTGTAGCACTTTTAATTTCATAGTTGTATTCTCTAGAATTTAAACGTTGACAGGAAGATCTACATTAGTCTGTTTTCCGATATTTTTTTAGAGAATGCATTGTGTTCTCTAGTCGGACTTACCACTTTTATTAGCCCATCTGACCCATTTATGCAAAACGTACTAATATCAAGGTTTATTCTCGATGAGACATATTTCTTCATATTCATTTACGTTTAAGTTTGCTTAACAAATTTAATTTGCAATATGAATGAGTCACTTAACGTTTATGGTTGTCTATATGAAACTCAGCTCAGTAAATGAAATTCTACAAAAACCGACCCCCCCCCCCACAAATGTATTTGTCAAACATCTGTTCATCAAAGGAATTGGACATTGATTGAGTGTCAGGACTGCGATGACTTTTCCCACTCTGAAATAATTTAGCACTTATAAAACAAAAACCTACTTCAACTGTATTCACCCATTTCTTCAGTAGCATCTATATTGGAACATCATATAGGATATTATCGCGAAGAATCTCAAAATACATATCAAAAAGTTCCTTAATAACTGGTTCTAAATCACCAAACAACTCCATAATTTAGTACGTTTCAAAAATGTTTGACAAGTATTTGGTGAATTTCACGTTGATTGAGTCTGCAATACTAACAACGTTGGTCAGTTTTTAAGTTGCGAAGGTCATACAAGATATTTTTCGTATATTCAAATTATCATTGTCTTTTGTGCTGCTCTACATTAACTTTTAATTACTGACTTCCATGATAATAATGATAATGGAATGAATAAGTTTTGTTTGATATTAATAAGGTTAACGAAGCAGAATTCGCTGGACTGATTCGATGAAATGCTTATTACTAGATGGCATGTGATTATTAAATATTCATACCGCCTAGGTTTTCATATATTTTACTTAAAACAATATTCAGATTTACACTTGACAGAAAACGGTTTAATTCGTTTTTATTGGTTGTTTGAATCTACCCGTTGATGTTGAGCATTGTATATGATCAGTCTCTTTTGGACAAGACAGGCTATATGAACTCATTAGCTAAGTGTTTAACGCGTTGGCGTTTGAGGTGAACAGTGCTGGGTTCGAGGCCCTGAGTGTACTTCAACTCTTGGACACAGGTACATCCAGCTGACGAGTTGCAAATAGGACGAAACGCGCGTTCTCGATTTCACTACAAACCACCATCCATCACTGCTTAGAAAACGGTGTATCCAAATTAGTTTAGATTAATAAGTCAACGATAGAATTTAAATATCGCACAGATGATTGAACGCACAACAGTAATTTTTGCAGAATCTTTTGCCTACTAATCAAACAGAAAGTAATATTTGATTATATTTTGATTTGACTGCAACTTTCACTATTTTTCGACTTATTTTAGTAAATGCTGAGTTGAAGTTAAGATGCAATTAGAAGAACATAACTAACAACCTACTTGGAATGATAATAAAATTTATCCATTCACAACTCACAATAAATCATCTTCCTTTCAAACATTTACATTGCATCCTCCATAACGCTGATGTCAGTTACTCATATGAGAATAGGTACAAAGTGGTTAATAGTATTGAAAATAGCCTATTTGTGTGTTGTGGTTACTCAAACAAGAATGATTTTTATGGGGGTGATATAGGAAGGCTATTACAACATAGCCTTATTTTCGGGTCAGCTTTTTAACAATCACTTATTGATTGTACTGACTAATCATATAAAACAACATATCAACGATCTAAGACAGATTTATATAGTGTAATGTCAGAATCAATTTTAGTTTGAAAACTGCGACATTTTATAATACGGCACACATTAAATTTATGTGTATCCCCCAAAATCAGGAAAAAAGGATGTCAGAATATGTAAAATCTAATAATACATTTCCAAATATATTTAGTACCTGTTCATTATGATTTTACTTTTTTTGTGTTTTTCTCGAAGGTTGTTGACTCATCATCTTGCTTAACACAATTGGAGGTTGATTTGTCAGATGACTCACTGGTAGCTAGTGTTACTATGCCATGTTTAGAAGTTGGTACAGTCGGTGGTGGTACACGTCTTCCAGGCCAACGTGCATGTCTTGACTTACTGGATTTAAGCGTCGATCGTCCAACTGAACATTTATCACGGGTAATTGCTGGAACTGTACTTGCAGCTGAGCTGAGCTTAATGGCAGCCTTAGACACAGATGATTTGGTGAAAGCACATATGCACTTCAATCGAGCCAAGCAATCTACAAACTCTAACCCCTGTAGTCATACTACTACTACTGATTATAATAATATTGATATCAATAGTAATATTTACGATAATCATAACATTGCTTTATCTTCAAAAAGTTCTGTTACTGATAATTCAGATGTACGCGAATCTGTTCATTCCATACATGTGAAACCACTTCCTGTTAAAAGTGACTTATCTGTAGATTCGGAGATATCCCATTATACTATGTAACTTGTATATGTAGACAATTTTACTGTCAGTTTACAAAATACCCTTGTATATCATTTCTAAGCCCTAAATTAAATTTTAACAAATAAGTTGTATTCTCGAATCATTTTTAGACGTTTACTTAATTTCCCGTGTCTTTTTTCACTTTCTGTTTCCGTACGTTTGATCAAAATAAACAAATTATACTTCAATATTGTTTTATTTGTAAGCTACTCATACTGTTTAAATCATCTACAATTTCAAACATGAAAAGTACACAGTAATCTTAGGTTTAAAAAAAGTTGGCCGTTTACTGACGTCGCATAATAGGTATGTACGCAAACACAAGGCTTTTTTGTCTCTGTTCATCGATGAACTTCTGCTTTTCGCGGTTACAACAGACCAATGACATCTCGATATATGTTTATTTACAGAGAAATCTATGAGTGGCCAATTGAAATATGTGTGCATGTTTGCAATCATTTTGATTGTTACCGAGTGATCTGTCTGAAACTATCTGAGAAGCGAAGATTCAAAAAAGATTTCGGAATGGTAACGCAATTACCAGACATCAAATAAATGTCATAAATTAGGATAGACTCACGCCATAACAGTAATCAAATATGATGTTGATGCATTTTATCTACACTTCCATTCCTTCAGTAAAGTGTCTCTTATATTCTCAAACAGGGAAATATCAATCGTCGCTACTTTTACCGCTGCTGTTGTTACTAGTAGGACTCTGACAGCATTACAAAACACTTTATTTCCAGCTTGAGTGATACAGAAGCAGTAACACTTTCTTTTACTTGGAGGCCATCCTCAATTAACCGCGACAACTTATTTGCATTTACCATACCAACTAACGGCTGATACAGCAGCAACTCAGAATCATATTCTAATAGCATAGTCGCTCAACCGGTCAGTCAACTTACAGCGTGAATAGTTACTGTCTTCCTTGCCAGATATGTTCAGGAGCGACCCATGGTCAGTCTGCAAAGTAAAGCTCCTGTCATAAACGATCCTGCGAAAATTCCGGATTGAAAACATTAGATCTAAAGTCTCATTTTCAGTTTGACTGTAATTCTTTTCAGTCTCAGTGAGCGTCCGTGAATAATGAAATATAACTTTTTTGACCTATCAGGAAATTTGAGAAATTTACCGCTCCAATACCAAAATCGAACATGACAGACGCTACTATTAACCTAAGTTTTAGGTTATAGTAAGTGAGCAACATATCACACATTAAGATCCGTTTTACTTATTCAAAAGACACTTAACACTTCCTAGTTCGGTTCTATTTAAACGGAGTCTGCAGAAAATAAATAATGGGCACGAAACTGTCATAATATTCAGTCATTCCTAAAAATGTCTGAAGTGTATTCACATAAGATCGTGGCGAGATATTTACCATGACATGTACTTTTTCCATATCAGCGCTTTGTCCATGGGAATCGGTAGTAGTCCTCAAATATCGAATACTTAGCAAAAAATGAACGCTCTTATGCCATTATGTGAAAACCATACACTGTGATACGAGGAGAAACTTGTTAGTATCGATAGCGTTCTTTCCCATTTTTATCGGTTTTGGGGACGATATATCCCCAAAACGCATATTCGTAATTTTATCATATCGATTAAATGACTGAATAGCAGTCAATTGACGAACTTATCGATTAAATATTTGAATGCCTGTCAATTGATGAACTTATTGGTTAATGTTTAATAACATTTTACTATGACAATATCGATTGTAAATATTTGTATAAATACGCTTGACCTGACCTGATATCTGCTGTTTGCCTGTAGAATACACTTTCTACGCCTCACCCAGACTTCTTGATCGCGTTAGCTGAGTCGGGAACAACGGACCAGAATAGTCTATTGAGATTCTGAATCCCTTGATCCGATCGATAAGTCACTGTCCTATAATCGGCGGCCCCTTGAGATATAACAATCGGTAATAATAATATATTCCATGGCAAATAATACATCACTTGACATAGTTTCCAAAACTTGCTAAGAATTACCGGAATGCATCTTACACCAAAAAGGCAGCCCGTTATGTTGAACCAATCCTCGATTCGTCCTTATTGCTAGCAGATGTGCACCCGAGAAATCAATCTTCGAAAATATAATGAACCCAGTCAGGTTCATTAACAAATCCTCCGGAATAGGCAATGGGTATAGATGGTCCTGTAATGCCTTGTTTAAACCGGCGGATAAATCTCCAAATACTTATTATTTACCATCATCTTTCCATGAAACCACAAGTGTTGTTGTTCATGCGAAACAATTTAGAGGAGAAATAAACCCAGAACTCAGCAGCCTGTGAAGTTCTACATCTATGGCATCAATAAAGCAATAAGGTACTCGTCTCCTTGGGTGGAACAGGTTTTGCTTCGTGCTGAAAATATATATGAGGCTCTCCTTCCAAGTATTATTTATTGATTAATCACTGACACCTGTTACCCCTCGTGAAGGAGTATAGGCCGCTCACCGGCATTCTCCATCAAACTCTGTCCTGAGCGATCCTTTTCATGTCTACTTCCGATTCTCGGCTCAGTGTGTTCTTTGGTCTTTCGTTTCCTTTCAGGTTTCCACCCCTCACACATTAGGAAAAAATGGCCGTCTAATGCTCCCAAGTTTTTAATTGTGGTTTAACTTAAATTGACTTCTGATTCCAATTGTGAAAATATAATTGTTTTCAAGACAGGAATATGATATCCACCAATATAAAAGTCGAAGTATTATCTGTTAAATCCTCAAATTAAAGATATTATTTATCACTTAGTGGTTTTGGTCCCCAAAGCAGAATTTTCAGGATTGGGTATGTTTTATTTCATTTCGAAAATTAAACCGTAACAATTATTTTACTTTGTATCTCGACTGCATTGTCATACTTAGGCATGATTGAGTATCTCAGTGAGGATTCCTTATGGTACTTGAAATTTGCTTTATTGTATGACTTTTTAAGTGGGTAAAACGAAAGCGAAATATTGATCTTTTACCCTGTTTCAAAATTTAGTTACTTAACCCCGCTAAGTTATTCAGTGTTTCCCTGTCGCTTCACATTTGTCTTAGTGGTAACCCCTTCTTAGCATCAGACTTTATTCACTTCATGAATAACAGTTTTATAAGAATATTGATTACAGAAGACACTATAACAAAATATGACTCTTGTTAGCTCTAAGTAGCATTAAAGAAATAAGTGTTTATCGTGGTATTTGATCTTTAGGTAAAAATCACAGGATTCCCATCGGTTAATGAAATCGAATAACTGTTATTGAACGACTAGTGATTTTTCGAGCAATGTTTAAAAATTATTTGAATCCATTTAGTCTCTGCATCATTGTGCTAACATATTGAAAAGTTCTAAGTTGGTATTTTTACTAATTGATGATTCCTTTGTACTTCATTTCACACTTATTACGAATTCCAAATATAATACGTTCAATTATGCTTATCCAGTTCTATCTGCCTTAAGTTGGACTTCTCTGGGAATTCCGAGTTAACAAATCATTTTGACTACTTTCAAATCTCATACCTAATCAAGGCATTTTATTGGTAAAATTATTTATCTGGCTTACGATTATTTGCTGTGAAATAGATGGTTCAAAAACATGGGACGTCATCTAGATCAACTAGCAATAAATCTAAGAACATTCACGATCAGATATTACACTTATCGGAATGATCTACAACGAGCTTGGTTCTCATTAGGACACTAGAAGGATTCAATGACATCGCAATTTAAAAAACAAATAGTTTGATAGAAATACCACCAACAATACAATAACAGTATGCTAGAACATTTGTAGGTTAAGACACTTCATTACAGATCAGCTGAGACGAACTAAAGAAACCCAGTAGAAGTCCTCACGGTATATTAAAACAGTACAATGATGTAGTCACAACAATTTATATTAATCAGAAAAATGATAAATGTACAGATTTGGAGCACAGAATCCTAACTTTAAAAAAAAACAGCAAATAGTATTCTCACCACGACTAACATCACATTTTACAGTTCATCGTGGTCACCAGATGGCTCATCCGACGCTTTTGAATCGCTTGGAAGTTCTTCCTGTTCTTTTGTTTCTCCAGCCTCTTCTTTATCATCACCTTTCGCACTTGACTGTTCCTTAGAAACTTCAGCATCGTATCGTCTTCGCCACAGGCGCTCGCCTTCTTGCTTAGCGAAATCCGGACTGTCAGTAATTAAAATGTTGTCAAAGATTGATCCTGAATCGACTTGCCACAGATCAAAGCCGACATAACCAATGTCGTCCAGAACATACAATTCGGGATCATGTTTGTATTCTGGATTGTCAATCTGTTTAGGCTTCCATTCTCCTTTGTATTTTGGATTATCAATACGTCTCGGTGTCCACTCACCCTTATATTCAGGATTGTCTTTTAGGGGAGGTTTCCATTCACCATCCATAACATCATCCCAATCATCTGGCTTTTTGGCATCCATATCAGTTATCATTTTAGGCTGATTCCAATTATCAGGTTTCTTGTCATCCGGATCATCGATAAATTGCTCATCAACCCAGTCATCAGGTTTCTTATCATTTGGGTCCTAAAGGAGCATATAAATTATATACAACAATCCTACGTCAATCTTTTTGGGTGGAAGCATATCCCAATCATCCTCCAATGATCCTTCTTCCACTTTTTCGTTATCAACTAAAACTTCATATTTGTTATTTGGATTAACAATTAGTGTGTATAGATGCGTTTTTTGGTCATCTTTGCAGGGTATTTCTTTTTTAATCAGGTGGTTTTTTCCCTTATAGTTGAAAATGACATGGATTTTCTTTGTGGCCATGCCACAAATATCAGGACCTATAATAAAATTACAGAATGAACCAGAGCTTTACCAAACATGACCTTGTAAGGCGTTTCGCCGTGAAACTTCTTAGGATCAATATCTGAACCGAGAAGTTTAATATAAGCTCCTCCGCAGCTGACAGTTTTATCAAACTTGACGGTAAATTGGAGAACCATTGCTTTGTCACGGTTGCTGAACGGCTCAGAGATTTTACGTGCAATACCATAAAATCTGGCATCTTGAGTTGTTTTCAAGCCCAAATCCTCTATTGGGTCAACTGGAGATTTCCCAGCTTCTACCTTGAATTCCCCTTGTTTCTCTGCATTATACGTTGATTGCACCCAATCCTCAATAGATTCTGAAATTATCA